TCATAGTTTTTATGACTATTGCACTGGGCAAACTTTGATGACAAATGATATGTGTATTGGTTGATGCTCCAATAAAGCTTTTATTTTATTGTATAATATGATGCAGGGAAATTACACCATTATTTCCACGTGGTGCCAAGGTTGTTAGTTATGTAAATAATGGGAAGATTATAAGAAAAAAAGGCCCACACCAGGAGGTTTCATTGAAGGGAATTTAAGGTTGTGTGCAAGGACCCAAAAGTATCTGGCCCATCTGAGGATTTTTTCACGACAATGTCAGACCATGCCCCATTTACTCTCAATTTAGAGTACATTAATAGACTATTAGATGACAATGCAACAGAGAGCTGTTCATGTTTTTGGATTTGAATGACTGAATCTCTCTACACTCTGGGAAACTACCAAAGCATATTCAAGAGGGCAAATTCTTTCATTTTGTAGAGGAAAGAAGAAGAAAACAGAAAAACAGGAGGCAGAACTAGCAAATTGTACACATCAGCATTGTGTCTGCTCTGGAGGTCTCTGGGATCCACATAGTGGCTGTCCGACATCGACACAATCCTTAAAAAGGCCCAGCAGAGGATGTACTTCCTGCACCAGCTCCGGAAGTTCAACCTGCATCGGGAGCTGCTGATCCAGTTCTACACTGCAATCATCCAGTCTGTTCTCTGTTCATACATCACTGTCTGGTTTGGATTGGCCACCGAACAGGACAGGAACAGACTACAGCGGACAGTGTAGAGACAATCCCTGATGCTAACCTGTCCTCTATTCAGGACTTTTGCATGTCCAGAGTCGGGAAACATCACACCCTGGACACAACCTGTTCCTACCTCCCTCTCTAGTAGAACGACAAGAACAGTTTCTTAACACAGGCCATCGCTCTGAAGAATAGTTAATATCACATTATGCCAATAACCCTGTAACACCAGAATATGCACTTACTTACAAATTATATATTTATGTATACAGTTTTAAATACACACTGTGCTTTAATATCATCCATCATTGTTGGATGTAAGTCTTTAGGTCACTTAATGTAATTTCTGGTTCTTTGATAACAGAGTGAGTTTTTTCTCTTTTGGAATCATCTCGGTGTGACCAACTACCGAAGCTCCAATCACACGATGTCTGTCAGTGACAGTCGTATTGAGCTGTGCTCCGGACACGTCCCCTCATAATACCACAGTCAACCGACCCCTACCAAATCATTCTAGACTGATTTCTTTCCATATCTATGCAAGGAGGAAAGTAGTGTTGAAACACCTCACTCTGTTATCAAAGAACCGGGGATCACATAAGTAACCATTTTGTGTTTCACTATGAGATGTTGGCAAGCCACAAATGTCAATCAGCGCAATGACCATCACACATGCACTTCCTTCCAGCATTGCTTGCGCCAGGTATGTTACCATTGACTGATACCACTGAGTCTGTACCTGTGAGCAAGGACGTCACTTTGTGTTAAAAAGTGGTGGGGACATAAGGGCTCAGATTAGGGGCGTGATGATGCACAAGAATCTGGGTCTGGGGTCCTTCCCCTAGAAAATTGGAGCATTAAACACTTAATTTCTTGCATTCTGGAGACATTTTCTGATCCAATTTACAGTGGAAATATGTTTTTTTATATAAAAGGAAACAAAAAAATTCAGCAGACAGGTGACAATTCATAAATACAAAAATATAAGAGAATATAACGCAGTAATCAGCAGCTTGGCTTTTTTGTAGTTTAAGTTGCTTTTTTTGGACAATGCACATTTGTTTCTTCTATATTTTAATTGCATTGCATGTTTCCTTATTGGGCAAATAAAACTTTCTCTGTAACTGTTTGTTAGTTAGTTGATGCGAGCTATTTTTCAAAACATTTTCAACAAATGCATTTAAAAAGTGATAGGGACAAAATCAGATTATTATTATTATTATTTCAAAATGTGGTGGGGACATGTCCCTAGCGTCCCCAGTGTAAATGACCTATGCCCGTGAGGAATAGTGGACAGAACCTGCGGGTGAACTGTGCATGCACGCCACGAATCTGCTAAGACAGCAAGTCGGATCTCTTTAAGAGGTTTTGCTCACTTGAAAAATGGGTAGGTTCAAACAAAGGGTGGTATGTCCTGAGTTGTTTAACACATATAGATGTGAATACCAGGAAATAAAAGCTGACATTCTGAACTTTTGTCTCATCTTTTGATCTTAAACCCAAATGTCTTCAGTGAACAACAAAAACACAGGAATTTGCCTTACTGTTCCAATACTTTTGGAGGGGACTGTATATAAATATTGACCTATTGTTTCACTTTCTTGTATATATGTCGCCTAATAGTTCTATGTTAGCCTATTTTGTGTTGTTGGAGTCAGAATTCCTTCTATGTGCCCACATACTGTCCTTGTCCAATACAGGTGATTCTGATATGGTCAAAAGGTCAAAGTCTATGACTGCCAAGTGTGAACTGTAGAGGACACTAAGGTGTGTGAGCAGGGCTTGACATTAATTTCAGTCAGGGCTCCCACTTTGGCTTGTTAAAAAAATTTTAGTTTTTCAAAATGCGTCTAAAAGAACAAAGGAATTGCAATGTCACACTACGACATAGTAGGCTATACCTGCACATAATACATGCACATAGTGTTTGCTCATAGGTCCATTAGTGAAGCCGCTACTGACGACAACACTGTAAACAAGAGAGTTAAGATTAAATTTGCGCACTGGCAGTCGGGGCCGTCTCCCGGTGGCCTGAGTGCTGTTTGCCGTTAATTATCAACAGAACCAGCGGCAGTAATGACAAAGAAAGCTTTTTTTAATAGCAGGAGAATCCACGCAACGGGCGCGTCTCACTCGCGAGGGTGCGCGCGCCATCCAGACTTTTGCCAAACGAGAATAAAAGTTCCATCTGTCACAGGGCGGCCACAGTTCATCACCTGATAGTACGATCTCTGGAAATCACACGCCGCTAGTCGCATGCACACACGCATCAACACGACGTTTAGACAGTGCGTGAGTGTGCGTGGCCGATCAGTATGAAGAAAACATGCACAGGAGAACGAGAGAAAGAGAAAAGGCAGAGCTGAGACGGAGAAAAGCCAAAAGGGAAGTGCGGTTAAATGCGGTAAAATGACATGGTGGTGTTAAAAAAAGAACAATTCAAAGACAGCAGGGCTTCCCTCATATCACCTCATATCACAGCATATCGTCATATCAAAACTACCTTTCCAGAGTTGGTTCTATGTTTCAGTAAAATTTTTCATGCCATGTAGGAAAGCAGAAGGTGCGTTGTGGAAATAATCCGGGAAAATAAAGACCTGTTTACTCAGGTGGACGTATCTTCAGTTACTCACAGCTACCAGAGCTTCATGGTGATAAACATAAATCCAGTCAGAACTCTGAGGAAATGCAGATGCAAAACAATCCAAAAGTGCACACATTTTTCTTAGACAAACATTATTTGTTGTTCTTTGCTCTTTGTTTCTAATGCAGATCGTTTTCCTACTCTGTATTACAGTAGGCCTATTTGCTGTTATAAATAAATATTGTTTTTGATGAGTTTTATTTTATGTTTATGTAATCTTTTCTATTAATCTTTTACATCCATGCCACACTTTTATTATATACAATAAGAAGCTACACTTTTTATGTTTTTATCTTAATAGACTACATGTTTAAAAAAAAGGAGCATTACACACAACCTTATCAGAGCTAAATGATAATATTGGTAAATTTTAGCAGGCCATAGTCAACTTCAATCAATAAATGTAATTTCCCAACAACATAAACGTGGTTAGTGAAAATACTGTGTGACTAGTAACTTTGGAAAACCACTAGCCACATTGACTAGTGAGCAAAAAAGTGTGACAAGCCCTGTGTGTGAGTGCAGGAAGGTCACACACATTTAAATATGTTGTGAGGCACCAAGTGCAGCCTTCACAATTTGTCTCATTTTCCCATAAGACAAAATAATTTACTCAAGTTCTGTACTTACATATAATTTAAAGGTACTTAAACTTACTTTAATATTACTGTGGTATGCTACTTAATACTTCAGTTCAGAAGGAATTATTGAATCTTTTACTCCACTACATGTATCGGACAGCTTTAGTCACTAGGGTCTCTGCAGATTTACATTTTACACATTTTAATTTATTATCAGTTTATATTATATGAGGCAATTTTAGACATCAAAGTACCCGGCTACAACATTAAAATGTTGTTTATACATCTGTATGTCAGAATCCTGTGTAATACTATATCACACTCAAAGAGGTAATTCATTCTGCTTTGAAGAGGGTACTTTTTTCTTTTTTTTTTTTTACTTTTGGCACCTTCATTATATTTTATATATAATACTTAAGTAGCCTACATTTGTTTAGTCACTTGGTACTCTGTGGCAAAAATTAGTAACATTTTGAAAGCCCTCTCACCAGATGAAGACAAAGACTTCTCACAGATGGGCTGAACTGAACTTGGGGGCTACTTCAAAAGGTGTATGACTTATGTATGTCTGCCTTAAATGTTTCTAAATAGTTTTAGTTGGGTAGAATGTAGGAATATGTTAAAACAGCACTGACATAATTTACAATAATCCACAATGGCTTGCATTCAAACTTTTGACTGGTACTCTAATAGTGAATGAATTACATCTCTTTGGAAGAGAGTTCTTGCAGTATTAGTACCTCGATCATTGCCGGCAATATTAAAGTAGTAAAAAGGCAGGACAGAGAACCCACAGACTGTTTGCACTGACACCTGTTGCCATGGAGTGTACTTCACGCGCAGCCCACTGTTGGGTCTTCACATACGGTGTATGGAATATCTACCGCGCCAGGAATTACTTTCCCATTCTGATTGGCTCCTTCTCTCTCACCAGACATCGTACAACTCACACCATTGGACCGCCTGCACGGCTATGGCGCGTGGTTGTGAGTCCTAATCTCCGATTGGCCAGAAACCTCCGGGACTTGGTAGCGCCGATGTCGTCTGTGAGCTGTGATTGGACGGGAAGCCAGGTGCCGAAGAGCAGGCTCTACGCCGCGCTGTCACCGTCAAGATATATAAACACACTCCTGCCCGAGCGAAGGAGTCTGGTGGGCTGGACGCGAATAACAACGTAGTAATAACTGTTACCATCACTGGAGTTAACTTCACGCACAGGTGAGAAGCATAATGCCGCTTCGTATGTTTAATTCATAAGAAAGCACACAAGAATATCACTGTGTATTCGTTTTTAATGTGTTTTTAATCATAGAGGATAACTCATCAGAAGCCTGGGATCTCGTGTGTCTGTGTGGGATGTTAGGCTTTTATAAGAAATGTTGCTCATTTATGTTATTCTTGCTAGCACATTTCTAATACATTTTGGATACCAATGTCATTAGACACAAGTCGGCTTACGTTAAATCAAGCTGCTGTAACCTTAGGTAAATACTAGCCCCATGAGTTTGATAGGAAGCGGGTCCGTCCGCTATTTTGTCCGGGTGAGTTAACGCTAGCAATCCAACTGGCTGAATCATGTTTTGGCTCCAGTCAAATTCGGTTTCCTGACTAGGGATTTTATCCAGCTAAGCTATATGTTTTCTTTAAACCCTGGTCAAATAACATCACTGCTTTAAGCAACAAACCAGTCTTTTCTTACATATTGACAGTGGGACAGTCTAACGGGTTAACTTGCCGATCATGAACGACTTAAATTCTTGGAAATCCCGTTGACCTTTCCCCCAGTTTTTCTCCCCTCAATCGATATCTGTCTCCCAAACACACGCTTTACGAAGCTGTTTAGGTACGTGTAGTAAGCAATATCAGCTAACAGCTAGCTGTCAAACCTAGCTAAAACGTTAGACCAAACACATGCTACATCAACCTAGCTAACGTTAGTTCTGAAAATGTCCTGCTTATGCCTTTTTATATGGTTATATGTATGTGGTATGCTGTCTTTTTCTAAGCCAGTGGCATGTGTAGTTATTTTGGTTAGTGCGTAAAAACGTCAAAGTGTCATACCACTAGTGCAAATATCTCAGCTAACATGCTAGCTAGACAATGTTCTCAGTAACCTTGCCAGACCCAAACCCTTAATGTTAGCTGGGACATTTCTAAGCTAACGGTAAAATAATGACACGAACTTGATGTCTCATGGCTAATGTTAACGTTACCTAACTCCTGATTCTACTTTGAAACACCAGGGTTATTCGTTTAACTATTTTTAATCATCAAACTGCAGCCTTCTGAAACCTGTCCAGTGGAAGAGAAAGCTAAATTGCCAGAAGTTGCTTGCCTTTTTGATGTTATTCTGAAATAGCTGGTGCTCTTTGGTGGTGTATAACATTAACCTTCTGGATGGATGTAACATATTAGGCTAGTATTCTTCAAGCAGTGTCAGTATGTTGCACTTTGACCTACTTAACAATGTTATAACAGTTTTGGGAGCTGGAGCCTGTGCATGTGTAGCTATGAGTAGTGTATGTTTATGAGTGAATGTATCAACCACCCTTTTTATTCACCCATTCCAACATTAGCAGTCAGGAGGCAATGTAGGCACACAGTTAATTACTGTAAACCAGTTGTAGTACTCAATACACAACGTATGAACTTAAAATAATGCTGAACATGAAACCCCTTCTGAACCCTTTCAGGATGCCTGGATCAGCTTCAATCAGTTGCTTGGGACCATGGCCCAAAGATGTGGGTATAATTGCCATGGAGCTGTACTTCCCATCCCAGTATGTGGACCAGGCAGAGCTGGAGCAGTTTGACGGCGTGCCAGCTGGTAAATACACTATTGGCCTGGGCCAAGCTCGCATGGGTTTCTGCTCGGACCGTGAGGACATCAACTCTTTGTGCCTGACCGTGGTCCAGAGGCTGATGGAGAGGAATGGCCTGTCCTATGACAGCGTGGGTCGACTGGAGGTCGGCACTGAGACCATCATAGACAAGTCCAAGTCTGTCAAGACAGTCATCATGCAGCTGTTTGAGGACTCAGGCAATACAGATGTAGAAGGCATTGACACCACAAACGCCTGCTACGGTGGTACAGCTGCACTCTTCAATGCTGTCAACTGGGTGGAGTCCAGCTCGTGGGATGGTGAGTGAACAAACTTGTTTTAACTGTATGTTGATGTCTTTTATTTTTCCATTGGTTAATTGCTTTGTCTATAAAATGTCAGATAAAATGCCTGAGTTTCCAAGAGTCAAAGGTAGAGCCCGACTGATATGAGATTTAAGATAAAAAATGATTATTCCTAACATTTGATATGTGTGTCTGAGAGACTTCACCAAGATAACATAACAAAATACAGTTTAAAAATAAACATTTTTTATTGTCATAAATATAACTTTGAACAAAGTACAGCTTCTTTTTGGGGCTCCAAACGTGTGTGCGCCAACAGGGGAGTTGCAGACAGACAGACTATGAAGCGACAACACTCATAACATGATTAAAGGATCGGTCTTCCGTCTCTCCATTTCTTTTTTTGTTTTAATTGTCATTTATCGGCAGTTATAAACACTAATATCGAATTATCTGCAATTAGGTCATATCGGCTGATAATATCGGCACACCAGTTTATCAGTGGGGCTCTAGTCAAAGGGCACATTCACTGTGATCTGAACAGTGTTCACTACACATTCCCTTTGCTGATACTTCCATTTGAGTAGAGAGATTTGTGTTCGTATTGTTGTTTTTTTTTTAATTAGCTTCTCCTCATGTTTTCTGTCTGCAGGACGTTATGCTTTGGTGGTAGCAGGGGACATTGCTGTCTACGCCACTGGAAGTGCCCGACCTACAGGGGGTGCTGGTGCCGTGGCCATGCTGGTCGGGCCTAATGCTCCTCTGGCCTTTGAACGAGGTCAGTAAAGTTAAACAAATCTTTTTTATGTGCTCAGTTTGTCAGGCAGCCCACTTCATTGACTGACTTTTTGATAAGACCCCACTGTTCCGAATGTTTAGTGATTACGTCAATGAAGTTTTAAATTAAATCTTCCTAGCTGCACCACTGAGATGCATACCTTTAGAAATTGGAAGGAACCTGTCTATTTGATTTTTACAATGTAAACTAGTTAGATGAGCTATTGTATGTGTTAATTAGGTGTTGATTGAACTGTATATCTAAATACCAAAAACTAGCTCAGCAAATGTGGGGAAGTTTATTAGCAGCAGTACTTTTAGGTGAGCGTTACGCAAAATGTAATCTGGGAAAAGATATCTTCAGAAATGTAGCCATCTTTGTGTAGACAGTGCAGTCAGTCATGCATACATAGAAGGAACTGAATTGAGTGTGTGTTCAGCACAGTATGAGTGTGTTTCTGACAACTGCTGTGGCTGTGGTGCAGGTCTGCGAGGAACCCATATGCAGCATGCATATGATTTCTACAAGCCAGACATGGTGTCAGAGTACCCTGTAGTGGACGGCAAGTTGTCGATCGAGTGCTACCTGAGTGCCTTGGACCGCTGCTACTCTGTGTACCGCAACAAGATCCACGCACAGTGGCAGAGAGGTGAGTTAAAATGGTTGTCTGGGATCAATAAAGATGGATCCTCCCAACATTTTATATTCTGACAGTTAGAATAAGTAAACTGAAAGCTTAAATCAGCTCTTCATCAGGCACAGAGGTATCAGACACTTAATACTGCCATATAATATAAGAGCAGTTGTAAGTTGACAGTAACAGTCTGATGCATCTTTGCCTGTTGTATGTGTTGGTCAGAGTTCCTTTCTGTCCTGGTCTGATAATTGCCTAATAAGTTAAGAGGGTTTAGGACATTACCTTCTTGCTGTGCTAAGAAGTTTATTTAAGTTCAGTGACCATAAAGTTAAATGAGATGAGCCTTTAACCTGATGTGCCAACGTGTGCAATATCTGAGACCACGAGGCTATTAAAGACCCAGACTAAACCACTCATAAGCAGCACAACGTTTCCTCTGCGCTTAATTTAAGGTCATTTAATGGGGCCCAGCGCAACTACACATCAGCTCTTTGGCCTACTGGTGTATTTCTGACCTTGAAATAGGTATTTTTGTACCTAGCACGGTGTGCATGCTGCAGAGGTAAGAGGAGAGATGCAACACGATGAGAGCTGTATGCAGATAAAGCAGAGCACGGCAAAGCGTTGGGATTTGGGTGGGAAGTGTTCTCACTGCTCTTTGCAACGGTGCCCATGAAATGGAGCCCGGTGTGTTAGGAATCCTTGAGACCAACAAATCATTTAAAACAGGAACACATGTTTTCCAAGCTTGTGTGGTCTAATCCTCCTCCTTCTTCTTGACAGAGGGTTCAGAGAAGCGCTTCAGCCTGGACGACTTTGGCTATCTTGTGTTCCATTCCCCATACTGCAAGCTGGTGCAGAAGTCGTTGGCCAGACTGATGCTGAATGACTTTCTGAGCCACCCCAGCCCAAACACTGAGACAGGACCCTTCACAGGCCTTGACGCCTTCAGGTACAGTCAGCACAAAATAGCTGCACAGAAGACAGGGTTTTGGTCCTTGAATATAAAAAGCCTCTTGATTAGTGTCCTGCTTTTAAGGACTAATAAAGGACCTCTGCATTTAAAGAAGCACTCATCCACCCTACTCCGTTGTTGTTTTAAAACAGAGTTTTAAAAAGAATCCAATCTCCGTCCACAGCAGCGTTTTAGCTGCCTATCAGAGTTGATCTCCGTCCACGTTAAAACGACTGAAACATGCACATCTACTTCATGTACTCGTCACATTCTCGTACACTGGGCATGCATGTGCTGACGTAAACTTGAAGTAGATGGTCTTTCTCTTCCCTAGCTACAGAAGATTTGGCTAAAAAAGAAAAAAAGAAATGCAGACAAAGAACCACACCAGATATTTTTTGCAGGGACCAATAACGAGCTGGGACTGTTACTGAATGTAACACGGGAGTTTAAAGCGGCTGTGGCGGTGGAAAACAGACTAGGAGTCGTTGCGAAGTAAACTGCAACATACACAGTACAAGTGTAGGCTGTTAGTGTTATTTGTACGGTACAAAATATTTGAATAAAAATACCAAATCAAAAACTCTGTCAGTAGCATCCTGTTTCTGCTTTGCATGACTTATGAGACCCAATCACAGAGCCAAACATGAGCATCTGTGTCAAGTCCTCCGTTTTTTTCCGTCTTCACTAAAACTCTCTCCGGAGTTTCAAAACGAAAACAAGGTCAGCGGCATTTTCAAACATCTCAAACATCTTCAAACGTCTTCGTTTTTGCTGTTTTAGTCTGGACGAGGGGTGCAAACGTAGCAAAAGGTGACAGTAGTGTGGATGGGGCCTTAAGATATAGATTCTGAAGTTCCTCTCTGTGTGTACAGTAAAAAAACAAAACAAAACAAGCTTACAGTCACAAGCTTCACTTCTGCATTCATGTGGTCTGTCAGTATCAGACAGTTGTTCCATGATGATGAATCAGTCTGCCTCAGCCACTTAAAACCTGCTCCTGATTAGTTTTGGCTGAAAGCTGACGTTACAACAGTCATTAAACTGGAGTCCAGCTAAGCTTGCTTTATAGCCCGAAGATAAACATGTGGAGCTACTTCATGAAACCATGAAATGTCCCTCTGGTAAAACATGTAAAATACTAAGCTTTGAAGACACTACAGTTAACAATGTATCTGTGTAGCAAACAAAAGGACCCTAGGAAAATCTGTGGAAGCACAACTCAGTTATTTTGTGGCAACACAAAGAAACACTGTGTGGTGATTCTGTTGCTAATCTCGTGTCTGTGTCTGTGTCTGTGTCTGTGTCTGTGGATTGCAGAGACATACAGCCAGAAGAGACTTATTTTGACCGGGATGTGGAGAAGGCCTTCATGAAGGCCAGTGCCGATCTGTTTGAAAAGAAGACCAAGTGCTCCTTACTGATCTCTAACCAGAACGGAAACATGTACACCCCCTCTGTCTACGGCTGCCTGGCCTCACTCATTGCACAGTATGTGTCAGTGTGTTCATTCATTCATCCACTAGGCCTTAACAAATATTCAAAATATTATCGAACTTGGAATATCTATGGTTATGATATCTAAACCATGACTCAATTACAAAATCTGTAAAAATGACTGCAATATATTTTATTTTTCAGCCCTATCATCCTTTGTATTTAATCACTTGCTACAAATGTGTTCAAGAAACAGGAAGTCGTAGTTCATCCCTCTAGAACATTGTGTATACCAACCTACCAGAAAAACAAAATGTCTCTGTAACATAGTGTCTGTGTTAAAGACTTGAAGCAGAGAAAAGCAGAAACAAAACAATATAAAATGTGTCTGCTGAAGACGAGACGCTCAAACAAAGAATACTACTGATTACAACTGAGTCACAGTGTTGCAGTATGTGAGGACAATCCTTGTTTCCTCTGTTGCAGGCACACACCTTCAGAGATGGCAGGGCAGAGGGTCGGAGTTTTCTCCTACGGATCAGGATTTGCTGCTACTCTGTATTCTCTCAGAGTCACACAGGACCACACACCCGGTAAGTCAGCCACGGCTCAGTTCAGCTGTCTGATGTGGATGAAATGAGAATGTACAGTCATTATAAAGTCATAGAAACGAATGGTAGCGTGTTCTTCCATGTGACCTGTTGACGGTTTGTTCGTTTCAGGATCTGCTCTGGACAAACTTGTGTCCAGCCTGAGTGACCTGAAGGTCAGGCTGGACTCCAGGAAGAAGGTTTTGCCTTCTGTCTTTTCTGAGAACATGAAGCTGAGAGAGGAGACGCATCACCTAGGTATGACCCTGCTGTCGCTGCTGCTCATGTCTGATTCTGAAGGAGCCATTCTGATTGGTTATTTGCAGTGACCATCCACAAGCCTTCTACACAAGTCTGTCAGGAAGTAAAGTTCTTAGAAACTTCCTGTCTTTTGGGAGGTAGTCACAACTATGGCTGTGTTGGAAACGGGCTAAACTGCTGTCCCAGAAGGTGTCTAACAGGACAGCGAGGCATCCAGTGCTGTTCCAAACGGCTGGAACGATCTCTTCCTGTCTCCTGAGATGCCTTCAAGCTGCCCCAGTAACGGCCAGTTTTGAAGGCAGCATCGATGGTGACTTGATGCTGACTATTACCCATAAAGCAGCGCGGCTGCGGCCGCCATAGCTTTCGAAAACTGGTCAAAATGGCAACAAACAAGCCGAATTAGACAAATATACATTTTTTTGTAGTTTTCTCGCTTTGATTTTTGAAAAGCTAGCTAGAACTAAACACTGAGCTATCACATTAGCCCGCGACTGTAACCAACCAAGTTTGTTCAGTATGATTTCTGAGGCGTCTGTAAGCCGTTTGGCTTTTCTTCTGACAGCCAGAAGAGACGCAAGACGGCGTGCTGACGTCACACGTTGAGAGAGTCTTTTCCCAGTAAAGAACACTTTACTGGCCCAAACTCTGGCTACAAGAGCCTTGACATGGTGTCAGCAGCACTCACTGATTGAATCTCACAACCGGGACTTGATTTGATATTTAGTATCCTGCATGTCTCACTGTTATCTTTTTTTATTCCACTCTGTCCGTACAGCCAATTACATCCCTCAAGGCTCGGTGGAGGATCTGTTCCCAGGGACTTGGTACCTGACGCGAGTGGATGACAAACACCGCCGGGAATACGCCCGAAGATCTCTGGACGGCGACCTGCCAGCAGAGCCAGAACTCCGCTGCAGCACTGCCACCGAGGTACAGGATGAACAGATGTTAGGACTGTTTCCTGCTTTGAACATCATATCTAATGTAGATCGAAGGATACATACACAGCCTCTATATGTAAATGTGGTGTATGACCCGAGGGGGGGTACAAAGTGATTATTAATTGGTGTACATTTGAGATGAGGATCATTCTGACTTATTACAAATGTGGCAATGTCAAGAAACAAATTATGACGGGTTATAATCACTGATAGTAGTGATGGACAAAACTGGAAAATTTGACCTAAGTTGTGATAAACCAGAATCATCCTTGAAGACAACATCATGCATGTATGCACGTTGCTTTTACTCTGCTGTTAAAAGGGTACTCCATCGATTTGTCACTGCACGTATTTAAATCTGCTGCCTGCATTACCCATAGTGCTACTCGACCTTGTGGCCAGATATTGGGGTGTGTTATGTTAGTAGTGGTGAATGGAGCCTACTGCAGAGATGAGCAGCGTAGGTCAGGTGAGCTCACTTCTTTCAGACTTGTAGTCTTCAGCCCCAACCGATGCTGACTCGTGTGACATCACTTGAGGCCATTTACACAGCTCCCTCTGGAAACACTAAAGAAGAGAGAAGAAGAAGTGAAACCCACCCTGCACGTTTCAAACTATAAGCCTGCCAGAAAGTGGATGAATTACACCTCTTGAGCTGCCATATGGCTTTTAATGTGAAACATCTGGAGGAAGGAAGTGATGGGTTTCATTAATGATTGGGGGGGAGGCAGCAAAGTAGAAGCAACTGGAAATAATTAGTAAATGATGAACATTCTCTCACAGAATGTCTTTCTGTGAGAGAAGAGTTGATTGGAGACTGTGACATGAATGTTATTGCACTGCTGGGATTAGTGCTGTGTAAATGTACACATGCTGATTTTATCAGGGTCATATGATTGAGGATAAACATGGGGGACGTGCTTTTTTTTTTTTGCATCGACAGGAGCAGATCAGAAAACAGGATGGCTTCTAACTAAAATGCTAAAATAAACAAATATATATCAGGGGGAATCAGAAATAAAAGCCTAGCTCTAATGGAAGCCCGTTTCTGAAATAAAGGTCTGGTTCTCCCGGCAATTGAGGCCACTGTTTGGAACTCATAGTATGTTAAATATTGAAACATGCCGAAGCATATCCAGCCGTGGAATTGTCAGTACTGGATGTCGAAATGTTGCTGTGACATGCTGCTCACATATTCATGGCAAGGCAAGTTTATTTATATAAAAGCTTATATATAAAAACACCATTCAACAACCAGGTAATTCATTTAGCTTTTTATAAGGCATTTAAAAGACATTAAGAGAAGAAACACAAGATTTAGATTAGACTGGCTTTATTGTCCACCTCTGTGGAAATGCGTCAGTACAGCAAAGTTATATACAATCCACCTAACACAGCACACATTAAAACATGTGCAAAGAAAAATGAAGTGCAAGGGAACACAAATGTCACTAGCCCTGATGGGAAAGAACTGGGAGTTTGAGCGGAGGTTTATGGGAGTTTGTGGTGCATCAAAACTGAACGCTGCTTCTCCACGCTTGGTTCTGCCTCTGGGGACAGTAAGCAGACGACCTAAGAGGTCTGGATGGTTCATAACAAAGAAGCAGATAAGCTGTCAGTGCTTTATAAACCAACAGTTCATTCATGATATTTGCCGTTTGTTTTCCCCTCCAGCACATCCCCAGTCCAGTCAAGAAGATGCCTCGCATCCCTGCAGCCGCCGCCGGCCCTGAGGCTGCCGTCAGCAACTGAGAGCACTCAGCTTACCTCTGAGAGGTATCAAGGTCCAACCGTTTGTAATAACTAGACAACACTAGAGGTCAGAAGGCTACCAAGAGACGACAGTGTCCCCTCCGAAATCATTATACGGTAACTTAATTAGGTTGGAGAAGCTGTAGACACTCATCAACTGCCTGTACCCTTCCCATCATGCTCCCGGTTGTCCACATGTAATACGTTGGACATTAAACTCACATATTTGACCTCAGACTATTTAATCTCAATAACTGTTTGTTTTAGCGATCCTCTGTTTCAAAGTTTACACTTCTACATATTTTCATTTTGCTTTTGTGCAAAATGGACAGTTGTATATTTGGGAGGAGCACAGGCAGACGTTTGTAGATATCGAGTTACACAAGCAGACTTCCTCCTGGCAGCTGGCAGCCAGGGACAGGAAGAGGAAATGGACATAATTAATGTGGCTTCGGACCTCCTGCTGATAAAAGAAGAAAGGGAAGTGGGCCTCAGCTGTGTTAATGGATCAAAATAGTGCTGCTGCCACGGCAACCCAGAGACAGAGCTCATATCCCCACTGTTTGTGTTCAATACCTCAGTCTTCTATTAAAAAAAATGTGGTCACTTTTCTACAGGTGAGTCTGTGACCAAATATCAGGAACAGGACTCAAGACTCAATAGTGGTACTCCACCCAGAAGGGTTCAGAGTCCTCTCTCAGCCTGCACACAGAGGGCGGAGTCTTACTTTAAACTGCTGTCGCTGAGCTCGTGTCGGCAACGTGTGAAATTGATAGGAGACATTCATTCTGTTCCATAGACATGTGATACACCACCAGTGTCCTCCATCATTGTAGTATTTCCTTTTTGCTTTTTACTGCCATGAAATGTCTAAACTCATCGAGTGTAGTCATCACACACATCACCTTGGAGCTGGACATTTTGACTTATTATTTTGGTAATGTTTGTGTAGGCTCGATGATTTATCCAGTTCCAGCATTATCGGTTGCAGCCCATTTTTTTTTTTCTCCAAACAGTGAAATATTATAAATAGAGAAAGAGATGTGTGTTGTCATTGCAGCATTATGGACTGCAGTAGTCTCTTCTTATTGTAATGTTGCTCAGCAGTAAACACACAATAGTGTGGGTTTAGACTTTTCTAAACTAACAATTAAAAGGAAAAATATTACACCGGTGTCATACTTAAAAGGTGCAATCAGCAAAATATGGCTGTTTAGTAGTGACACTACAACCCTGTCAGCTTTAAAAAAAAAAGAAAAAAAAAAAGATTTATATTGGGACTTGACTCAAATCAAAGGTGTTTCTAATATTTTGGTCACCCCATTTATATCAATGAACGCAGACAAACTATTAAACACCTCTTTTTGTAATGCAAAATGGCCGTGATGTTGAATCGCCATCTCGAAAAACAAACTGAACCATAGAGCCTTGATGAAAATAGGATTTATTGCATTAGGCTGCATTAGTTTTAGAGTTTAACAAGAAACTGGAAACAGTGTAATGTGCCATGTAACCAGTTTCAGCTGTGTATTTCCTTCCTGCATAAGCTGACAGGTGCCGAGCAAGGCATGTTAGGTTCCTCACCCGTCCTACAGACATACTGCACCTTTGCTCCAGTTTTTACTCTGGCTTTACTGACATTAAACCAAGCTCAGAGGAGGTGATGGATAGTTGAGGGATCTCCAGCAAATACACGAGCTGCGTTGGCTCAGCCTCAATAAAGAGTCAATAACATATTATTGATTGCACCTTTAAGGGTATGCACTGAATCAGACAGCTAATTATGGAGCATTATGCAAGAGCTGTTTGTGTTGGGAAACCACATTTCCAGACATTTTGACTCTCTCCTCATTTCACATTCCTATCAACTTCTCACAATGAAACAGCTGCTGAGAATGTGAACTCCGGTGTTGTTGTCTGTCCCATCTGTATCTTTCAGATGGCTGAGTGTAACCTTAACTCATTCTGAAGCCTTAATGTTAAAGGGCTTTGTTTTGTGACGTTATAGGTCAGGAGAATTTAATGCAAGAACTGTTCTCTGTGTGTTTAAATGTGTTGTTTTTGATTTTGATTTGATTTGATTTGACAATAGCAGCTATCAGCAAGAAACCAAATGTTGAAACTGATGGGGCTCAGGCAGAACACGTCAGCCTTAAAGGAATGGTGTTGCTGTGTACATGTCGGAGGTTGGACTGACTCGTAGACTTGCACGCAGGGTTCAGAGGAGTCGTGACAGCTGATGTCAGGGTGACTGCGTTCTTGAGAAGCCTTACAATAAGCATGTATGGACTGTAAACTACAAAGCTCGTCTTCTAATAATGTACAGATATTCTTTTTTTTTCTTTTTTAATTGTACAGTCAGAGTTGGTTCATCTGGAGCCGAGCCGTGCTCAATGCAGCGTCACAGACACACACAGTGTCACTGAGTGTCTTGGTATGACTAAGATTACATCTGTGTGGCGTCTCAGAGGTCACTTGATCTTTACCAATGTTGATGTCCATGTACATCTGTAAGATGATTTATGCTGTGTAGATGTGAACGAATGGATGTCTCAGATTAAATTTATCCAGACACTTTGTGTAAACATGTAGATTCAGAATAAATGAACACTCAACCTGTGTGGTATGTGTATGATTAGTTTTTTCCCTGCAACAACCATAATCATGAAAAACACATTTTGAGATGCATTCCTATGATCTGTCGGAATTTTATTGAAACAAGAGATTATGTACTCGCAGCGTTTGGAAAATTAACAGTGGGACATACACAGAGTAAAGGTGCAGCAAAATATTATGTCCCCACACCACACAGCTTACACCATTCTTCCAACACCATGGTGACATGTCAGAATTTCCATACCTAAAACAAAACTAAAAAAGCTCTGAACCCTTTTCTTCCCATTGTATCTTAAGGATACAGACATTTTACTAACAATTTAAAAGAAAGTAACAAACCAAAAAGTACATGAGTTGAAATATTTTGCAGAAGAGATTTCACCTTATCATTTATTAAACTACATGTGAAATACTGCCTCACTTTATTAGCCACAGAAATCCTATACTCCTATACGATAACTGTGGCCCCATTCCACATAAAACATGTAGCATAACTGCTACATCACAAGTAACAGCTTGTATGGTTCATAGCATCAAACTCATAAATCCAATAACATTCTCTTTGCTAAATGACTGTTTACAACACAAACCTTTTTTGCTTGTAGGTGACCTAATAGAGAAATCTACAGGCACTAGGGGGAACACAGAAACATAAAAGGGACCACGAGATGTTCTCCTTCAGATTTGGTGTTGGCATTTGATGTGTTCACATGTTGTATGCTGGCACTGGATCTCCTCAGCCAGGCTCAATAAACCACGCTATGTTAAGTCTTCATCAGTCTCACAACAATATCATTTCAACAGTCATTATTTTCCTAGTAGTGCTTATCTGTTCATAGATTCAGTCCTTCACTTTTTGAATCTATTATTGCTATAGCCTCTCTGTCAGAGACACTTTGGGGAAGTCAAATGCCAATTGGAGAATCAAAACGGGTCAGGCCAGCCCTGGGTAGTGAGAGCAAGTTACGCATAGTCCCTATGCCTGAGCTGTACCACATGATGGCAGCATTCTGCATCTTCAGAAGATCCCCATGACTGAGAATGTGAATTCATTTATAATCCCCATATATTCACCAATTTAACTGTTCCTGTTTCAGGAACACAGAGGAGGAAGCTTTTGTCATTTCAGGAATGTCTTGTGTGACCAGCTGATGACATTCTAGCCAGTTCTTTGGCTGTTTGAGCAAATAAATATAAGCCATATCACTCAGTGACTTTAAAAGAATGGCTGATAGTATGAGGCCATTTACAATCTACTAAGCAACTAAAACAAGGAAAATGATGCAAATTCAAATGACTTGTGGACCAAGAGGAGGTCAGGGACTTAATAACAGTCAACTGTTGACAATCCTGATAACATTAAAGAATATGCATTTATTTCAAATATTATAAATATAATTAAGACTCTTAAAAGTGCCAAAGAAGATCTTAACATGTAAAGGTAAACCAACCCCAATGGAGGACTCCATGGACCAGCAAAAGGCTCCAGGACACCTGGAAAACCTTTTGGGACGCAGCAAGATGATCATGGACACCAGGGCAGAGCCCTCACTTGCTCAGTCGAAAGTAACACAAAGGAGTATTGAAAGTATGGAGGGTCGAAAGTAACACACAGGAGGGTTGAAAGTAAGGAGGGTCGAAAGTAACACACAGAAGGGTTGAAAGTAACACACAGGAGGGTCAAAAGTAACACACAGGAGGGTTGAAAGTAAGGAGGGTCGAAAGTAACACACAGGAGGGTCGAAAGTAACACACAGGAGGGTTGAAAGTAAGGAGGGTCGAAAGTAACACACAGTAGGGTGAAAGTAAGGAGGGTCGAAAGTAACACACAGGAGAGTTGAAAGTAACACACAGGAGGGTTGAAAGTAAGGAGGGTCGAAAGTAATACACAGGAGGGTCGAAAGTATCACACAGTAGGGTTGAAAGTAAGGAGGGTCGAAAGTAACACACAGGAGGGTTGAAAGTAAGGAGGGTCGAAAGTAACACACAGTAGGGTTGAAAGTAACACACAGGAGGGTTGAAAGTAAGGAGGGTCAAAAGTAACACACAGGAGGGTTGAAAGTAAGGAGGGTCAAAAGTAACACACAGGAGGGTTGAAAGTAAGGAGGGTCAAAAGTAACACACAGGAGGGTTGAAAGTAAGGAGGGTCGAAAGTAACACACAAGGGTTGAAAGTAACACACAGGAGGGTCGAAAGTAACACACAGGAGGGTCGAAAGTAACACACAGGAGGGTTGAAAGTAACACACAGGAGGGTTGAAAGTAAGGAGGGTCGAAAGTAACACACAGGAGGGTTGAAAGTAACACACAGGAGGGTTGAAAGTAAGGAGGGTCAAAAGTAACACACAGGAGGGTTGAAAGTAAGGAGGGTCAAAAGTAACACACAGGGGGGTCGAAAGTAACACACAGGAGGGTTGAAAGTAACACACAGGAGGGTTGAAAGTAAGGAGGGTCGAAAGTAACACACAGAAGGGTTGAAAGTAACACACAGGAGGGTTGAAAGTAAGGAGGGTCGAAAGTAACACACAGGAGTATTAAAAGTATGGAGGGTTGAAAGTAACACACAGGAGGATTGAAAGTAAGGAGGGTCGAAAGTAACACAGAAGGGTCGAAAGTAACACAGGAGGGTTGAAAGTAAGGAGGGTCGAAAGTAACACACAGGAGGGTTGAAAGTAAGGAGGGTCGAAAGTAACACACAGGAGGGTCGAAAGTAACACACAGGAGGGTTGAAAGTAACACACAGGAGGGTTGAAAGTAAGGAGGGTCGAAAGTAACACACAGAAGGGTCGAAAGTAACACACAGGAGGGTTGAAAGTAAGGAGGGTCGAAAGTAACACACAGGAGTATTAAAAGTATGGAGGGTTGAAAGTAACACACAGGAGGATTGAAAGTAAGGAGGGTCGAAAGTAACACACAGAAGGGTCGAAAGTAACACAGGAGGGTTGAAAGTAAGGAGGGTCGAAAGTAACACACAGGAGGGTTGAAAGTAAGGAGGGTCGAAAGTAACACACAGGAGGGTCGAAAGTAACACACAGGAGGGTTGAAAGTAAGGAGGGTCGAAAGTAATACACAGGAGGGTCGAAAGTAACACACAGTAGGGTTGAAAGTAAGGACGGTCGAAAGTAACACACAGGAGGGTTGAAAGTAAGGAGGGTCGAAAGTAACACACAGTAGGGTTGAAAGTAAGAAGGGTCGAAAGTAACACACAGGAGGGTTGAAAGTAAGGAGGGTCGAAAGTAACACACAGTAGGGTGAAAGTAAGGAGGGTCAAAAGTAACACACAGGAGGGTTGAAAGTAAGGAGGGTCAAAAGTAACACACAGGAGGGTCGAAAGTAACACACAGGAGGGTTGAAAGTAAGGAGGGTCGAAAGTAACACACAAGGGTTGAAAGTAACACACAGGAGGGTCGAAAGTAACACACAGGAGGGTCGAAAGTAACACAGGAGGGTTGAAAGTAACACACAGGAGGGTTGAAAGTAAGGAGGGTCGAAAGTAACACACAGGAGGGTCGAAAGTAACACACAGGAGAGTTGAAAATAAGGAGGGTCGAAAGTAACACACAGGAGGGTTGAAAGTAAGGAAGGTCGAAAGTAACACACAGGAGGGTCGAAAGTAACACACAGGAGAGTTGAAAATAAGGAGGGTCGAAAGTAACACACAGGAGGGTCGAAAGTAACACACAGGAGAGTTGAAAGTAAGGAGGGTCGAAAGTAACACAGGAGGGTCGAAAGTAACACACAGGAGGGTTGAAAGTAAGGAGGGTCGAAAATAACACACAGGAGGGTGAAAGTAAGGAGGGTTGAAAGTAACACACAGGAGGGTCGAAAGTAACACACAGGAGGGTTGAAAGTAAGGAGGGTCGAAAGTAACACACAGTAGGGTTGAAAGTAAGAAGGGTCGAAAGTAACACACAGGAGGGTTGAAAGTAAGGAGGGTCGAAAGTAACACACAGTAGGGTGAAAGTAAGGAGGGTCGAAAGTAACACACAGGAGGGTTGAAAGTAAGGAGGGTCGAAAGTAACACACAGGAGGGTTGAAAGTAAGGAGGGTCAAAAGTAACACACAGGAGGGTTGAAAGTAAGGAGGGTCAAAAGTAACACACAGGAGGGTCGAAAGTAACACACAGGAGGGTTGAAAGTAACACACAGGAGGGTCGAAAGTAAGGAGGGTCGAAAGTAACACACAGGAGGGTTGAAAGTAACACACAGGAGGGTTGAAAGTAAGGAGGGTCGAAAGTAACACACAGAAGGGTTGAAAGTAACACACAGGAGGGTCGAAAGTAACACACAGGAGGGTTGAAAGTAAGGAGGGTCGAAAGTAACACACAGGAGGGTTGAAAGTAAGGAGGGTCGAAAGTAACACACAGGAGGGTCGAAAGTAACACACAGGAGAGTTGAAAATAAGGAGGGTCGAAAGTAACACACAGGAGGGTCGAAAGTAACACACAGGAGAGTTGAAAGTAAGGAGGGTCGAAAGTAACACAGGAGGGTTGAAAGTAACACACAGGAGGGTTGAAAGTAAGGAGGGTCGAAAATAACACACAGAAGGGTTGAAAGTAACACACAGGAGGGTTGAAAGTAAGGAGGGTCGAAAGTAACACACAGGAGTATTAAAAGTATGGAGGGTTGAAAGTAACACACAGGAGGATTGAAAGTAAGGAGGGTCGAAAGTAACACACAGAAGGGTCGAAAGTAACACAGGAGGGTTGAAAGTAAGGAGGGTCGAAAGTAACACACAGGAGGGTTGAAAGTAAGGAGGGTCGAAAGTAACACACAGGAGGGTCGAAAGTAACACACAGGAGGGTTGAAAGTAACACACAGGAGGGTTGAAAGTAAGGAGGGTCGAAAGTAACACACAGAAGGGTCGAAAGTAACACACAGGAGGGTTGAAAGTAAGGAGGGTCGAAGTAACACACAGGAGTATTAAAAGTATGGAGGTTGAAGTAACACAGGAGGATTGAAAGTAAGGAGGGTCGAAAGTAACACACAGAAGGGTCGAAAGTAAC